TGGATAGACTCATCTGCATGTGTTTGATTGTCCATGAGGCAACTAGGAGACAGGGGATGCAGGGGCCGTTAGCTGGATAGACCTACTATCTAATGCCGGTTGCTATAGAGCTCCATAGTGCATGGCTGGAGAGTAGCCAGGTAGAAAAGGATCTGGGAGTCTGGATTGACAGGAAGCTGAACATGAGCCAGCAGTGAGCCCAGGTGGCCAAGAAGGCCAATGACATCCTAGTCTGTATCAGGAACAGTGTGGCCAACAGTACCAGGGAAGTGATTCTGCCCCTGTACTCAGTGCTGGTGAGGCCACACCTGGAGTACTGTGTCCAGTTCTGGGCCCCTCAGTTCAGGAAGGATATTGAGGTGCTGGAGCAGGTCCAGAGAAGAGCAACAAGGCTGATGAAGGGAGTAGGACACAAGTCCTATGAGGAGAGGCTGAGGGAGCTGAGGTTGTTTAGCCTGGAGAAGAGGAGGCTCAGGGGAGACCTCATCACTCTCTCCAGCTCCCTGAAAGGAGATTGTAGCCAGGTGGGGGTTGGTCTCTTTTCCCAGGCAACCAGCAGTAGGGCATTGTCTCAAGTTGTGCCAGGGGAGGTTTAGGTTAGATATTAGAAAGCAATTCTTTACAGAGAGGGTAATCAGGCATTGGAATGGGCTGCCCAGGGAAGTGGTGGGTTCACCATCCCTGGAGGTTTTTAAGATGAGACTGGATGTGGCCCTTAGTGCCATGGTCTAGTAACAGTGGTGGTAGTGGATCAAAGATTGGACTTGATGATATCAGAGGTCCCTTCCAACCCAGCTGATTCTTTGATTCTATGATTCTATGTGTCTATGTGAGTGAGAGGAAGTCTGAGAATCAGTAGCTGGATTGGGACTGTAGAGTTTGCGCACCCAATTTGGTTAAATGTTCAGATTCAGAAAAAAATGCTTCTGTCTTTATTCTAAAGGTCTGAGTAGCCTTCCTTTAGAGTATGGAAAATGCTGGAAGAGAAAGTATGGAAGAGAAAACTCCTTATGAAGAACCCATTATTTTCTGAAGATGTTGATTCTACAGTATGATGTCAAATCTTTGCCCTATATTTAAGAGATTTTATTGAAGTCTACAAAATAAAAAGTCCTCAAAAATTTACATTGTCCTCAAGCTTCAAGATATGATTCTACTGTTTTTCTTTAGAGTCATGTTCAAGACAGTTTATGGACCGTATCTTTGAACTTCAGTATAGGAGCCATGTGTGACAGTTTCCCCGGAATCAGAGGAAGGATATTGATTAATGATCAGGGCAAGAGACTTCTATGCAAGAGAGAATTATGGAAAGAATACTTCAGTTTGGAAAAGAAATAACTGAGATGAATCTTGGAAATATATATAGATATAATGAGAGGTAGGGAGAAAAGTGTACAGGTTTTTATTGCTTTTTCCTCTTTTAGTAGAAAAATTAGGTAGAATTAAATAAAGTTATAAATTAGCAAGTTCAGAATAAAGGAAAAGTGGTAGTCTTTTCCACAGACTTTAAGTCAGTCATGGAAATCATTGAAGCAGGATGCTATCAATGTTGCAGTCTTCATGGAGTTTAAAAGGATCCTGAATAAGTTTATGAACAAAAAATCCAGTCAAAATTACTCAGTGCTTAGAAACTATATCTGCTTTAGGGAGCACCCAGGGAACAAATGCCTGAAGGTTAGAACAGTATATATACATAAATACACCTATAAATATGTTAGTATTTTTATACTCATGTGAGTATTCTTATACTCCACAAGCTTATGTTGTTAATTGCAGCCTTGGCCTGACCCTCTGCAAGGATCATTTCTTTGACTGATGTATCCCTACAACCTTATTGCCTCAAGGATTAATATCATACTTTCACAGGGTGTCCTTGTTTATTCTCTTACCTATTAGAGGATAGAGATAGCAAAAGAAATACTCTCCCTTTGCTTGCAAAGTATCAGGTTGTATACATGTGTTAGTTTCTTTGCATCTATCTAATGGATACAGACTTCAGCACAACCCTACTTAGCATACTCTTTGCATGAAATATAGAAATCTTAGAAGCATTTGAAGATAGGATCAGATCACAGCGTTCTGTCCTTTCATATTACAGAAAAACATACAATTACAGAAAAACCTTACAATTCACTTAATAAACTTAAGAACTTAATAATAAAATCATTCTTCCATGTTAGAGCTAGACCACTCTTCCACCTCTGTCACTTATGCAGGTAGACTGCTCTACAACTGTTTTCTGTGCCACTAGGTTCTTGTATAGTTTCTTTCCTTTCTAGTAGCTATATTCTGCTGTGTATAGGCAGAAGAGTATTCCCTCTTAACTTTTTTGTGCTAATTTTCTTCATTTCATTCCATAAACTGAATCCTCTATTCTCCACATGCAGAGAGCAGTTGTCTCTTCCTCACTTCCTGTTTAAATTCATCCTCTTGAACCCAGTTTATCAAAATTGATCAGAGTTCATTTTAGAGTAATAACAATATCTTGTAATTTTCTCATTTAATACCACTATATGTGTCCATATACTTCTGACATACTTCAGGACCAGGATCATTTCAAATTTTCAGTACCATATTTTACTGATGGCTCATATTCATCCATTTTGAGTACTCAACACTCCTGATCTTTCCCTTTCCTTGGTTGTAGTGGGAAATCTTAGTTTATAACAGAAAAGCTTAATATCAAGCTCTAAGTGCATGACCTGGCACCTTTTTGTCTACTGTCATCTTGTCATACTACCTTTCTCCCTGTTCCTTGCAATTGTATCCTCTCATCTGATGTTTCCTCTGTTTTGCTCTTTATCAAATTCTAAATTTATATATATATATATATATATATATATATATATATATATATAAAGAAAATTCTAATGCTTTATTTAAGTTTTCCGTAAAGCAGTCAATGCTTTCTCTGCTCTGGTCAGTAAATATATTACATAGCTCATCATCAAAGCAAGGATGCATTCACCATTCATGTGTATTAGATAGGTTAAAAGTGTGTGTGTGTATATATATATATGTATGTTCCAGCTTTTTGTTCTTCAGCTGATCCCATAAGATGAATAAAATGACCATTTTGCTTCATCTCAGTGGAGGTGGGTATGATGGAATCATCTACTGCTATCTTTTCCCTTTTTAATTGAAGCCTACATAAATCTTTGTAAAAGCAATTAACAAAGACTATATTTACCATGCATTATTTGACATTCATGAGTTTGCCAAAATCTTTTTGTATACAAACCAGATTTAAGGTTGAAACAAACAGCTTATTTTTTGCAACACCCAAATGCAGTCATGCAGTGAATCAGAAAAACTCCCATTACTGAAAGTAAATTAGAAGCATTTACACTGTTCTTAAAAGAGATGTTTAATTTGTTAGAGGTTTTGTGTTGCTTTTCTCACTTGGCACATGAAGTGCTAGAAGAGAATGTTGTTCGAACAAAATTGAATTTGCTCTGTTTGTATTGGAAAGTGTCTAGTTTTGAAATGAATACACGTAATGGAACTAGACAGGAAAATGTATGTATTTTTCTCTTTAGGGAATACTGCTCAGAGTTTTACATAATTGCTTCTGTCTGCTATTCTTTATTTACTTCTATCTCTCACCATATAAGAAAAAGATAGTTTTGCAGTCTCAACTGACAGAATATCACATCATGTGAACTCATAAATCTTTTTGTCTGTTATAATATAATAAGACAAACGAGAAAAAAGATTGACATTGCATTGTACGTGGCTGTTCTCAGTGTAAGTTCCAATAAGATTGAACTGCATGTCCACAGCACCGAATACTGGTCGATATATTTAAATAATGTTGAGCTGCAAGGTGGATTCCTATAATGAGGCCAATTGAATTAATCACCACATTTTTTTTTCTTACTCATCCATACTTAAGTTCTTCTATATTTTAACAATAACGATCTGGTATTACAGAAATGATAAAAGTTGCTTTACTCTCTTAATCACTCCAGAAAGACTTGTCCATTCTCATAGGGGTTTGTTACTGCTTTGAGGGTAATAGTGCATCCATTTTGAACCCATTTTTTTTCTAACTGGCTGTCAGATTCCACTTCCCTTGACCTTGCAGAAACTTTAAGCTCAAGCCCCTCTCCTTGCCCTTCATCAGTCAAATGCCATCTTTAATTTATTCTGACATTCGAGCCTTTTGTTTGAAAAGCTGTGATCACACAAAAACTATTACCTTAGTTGTTTTGGACATGATTCACTATCTCTTCAAAGATAATAGACAATAAAAATATTACTGTGAACTTTTGCAAAACACCTATTTTAAACTCTGCTCTCAGTACTTACCAAATCAAAGTTTGTATGGAAAATTTATACTTCAGTGTACAAATCACCTTGCACTTTAACTGGACAACTAATTAAATCATAAGTGGAAAAGAGAACTACATGATCTGCAAAGCTAAAAGAATAATTGACTCTTTATGACCGTCATCTTTCATTTTATGTAGGTAGTTGTTCATTATAATGTTAACCAGACCAGAAGATCAGTGCTACTTGAAGCATAACTTTAAACAAAAAATATAGTTCTTCTACCAATTTTATATCTTCTCTCCAAAACAACCAGCTAAAAAAAAAAAAAGTTCAAAAATGTAAATACCAAGTTTAGGCAGGTTTAATTTATTAAATCATCCAAATGTCATCTTGAACGTATGTGGCATGCACAACAACACAGCCTAACTGGAGAACAAACATAAAAAAAGTGGTATTTTATGTATTTTTCTGCTGCTATGAAAAGGTGGAATACTAATCAAAGGTCTGTATTTTTTCCTACTGCATTTTAATGCCATTCTTTTTTCTCTATGATTGTTTCGTAAGATGATCTACAAATAAAAGAAAATTAGGTTTGCAAGTTAAGTGCTCTGGGCCCTTGCTAAATTCTTTAGGTTTTCTTTCTATTTCTTGGTTTTTATTTTATGTATTTACTCTTTTAAATTATGAAATTATCTCATCTGTTCTGCCCTCTTTTTGTTTTACAGCAGGTAGCACACTGAGAGATTAGAAAACAACCAGGTAGGTGGATACTTTCACGAGTTCTGCATGTACTCTGTTGTATACTGTAGTACTGCTCCTAGTTATTCTGGAATTAGAGACTGCAACAGTATATCATACTCTCTGAGTTACATAAACACCGAGTCATTTGCTGTAATTCTTCTTTAGTCTTTAGTAACAAAACTTTTGTTTCCCTCTATCTGCTAATTCCTCTTCTATCTGAAGAAGTCTTTCTGGCTTCTGCTAATATCCTTTCTCTTACTTGTCGTTGTCGTGGAAGAAACAACGCACTTAAGAAAGATGTCACAATATACTTTAATAATAAAGTTATTATAAAATGCAATGGTAAATGTTACCGTGGTTTAACAAGATTTCATGGCAAGGTACACTTGTTTATTTACTGAATAGATAACAGAGTCAAATCAAACTCTCAGGGAGTTCCTCTCTTTGAGTCACAATACTCAGAAACAATCCACTTGACTTCTAAATTCCTTCTCATAGAGAAGCCTCGGTGCAGGTGGATCTATACTTGGTCCCAGACTCGATCAATGTTTTCTGTCTAAAGGAGTACACATGCAGAATCAATCCTTTGTATCACTTAGCTAAAATTTTAAAGATTATCATGCTGTAATAACTTACTGAGAATGTGTTTTGTCTCGAGGAGTAACCTTGAGAGATGTCCTTACTCAAGGGGAGATCCTGGTGTGCAGTCGTTGCTGTGCAGGAGAGCTTAGCAGGTGCTGGACTGTCTACTACTTATGGAGTAAGGTGATTAGCTTGTAGTCATATATGCATGCCAACAAGATGTGTGGGACACCCTTCCAGACAGCCCTTGGGTACTGTGTTTCTATTTATCCCCCAAAGTCCACGGTAAGCTGGATGCAGCCATCATCCACTGTGGTGGTTGTAATGGCTTGCAGCCGGTTGTGATGGTTGTGTGTGGAAGCAACACCCCCACAGCCCTAGACAGCGACATCCATTTGTTTTTCTTATTGCTTCCCTATTCCTAGCATTTATTTCCACCTTGTTCCTAACTTTGAAAGGTGGAAAGGGCACAGCTAGACATTGATTGTCACCTTTTAATTCTGACCCACTTGTTCTCACCCGGAACTCTCACACTGCACCAATTTCATCGTTACAGTATAAATTATTTTTAATAGTAATCTTTACTGCAAAACTGTGCTATCTGAAAGTAATTACAGGTAATTCAAAGAAGGAAGGCACAGGGGGTTAAACTTAGGTAAAAGCCGAACTACTATCTGGTTGTTCACTATGCCTTCACCAGAAAGAGGGGATGAAAGAGTTAAAACAGGAACAATAAAGCTCTTGGGTCGAGATAAAGACAGGAAGGTTCCTTACTGGGACTTGACTTGGGGAAAATTAATTTATTACCAATTAAAATAAATATTTACAGGTAGTGGGAAACAACACAACAGATATTACACATCAGACAAATAAAAACATATTTCTTCACCCCATTCCCAGGCTCAGCTTCATCTCTTCACTCCTGACTCCTCTACCTCCTCTCCCAAGAGGGGTACAGGGGGGTGGGGAATGGGGAGCCTTCATAACAGCTCCTCTCTGGAGGTCCTTCCTCCTCACATTTTTCCCTGCTTCAACGTGAGTCTTTCCCAGGGGCTGCAGGGGAACACTCGCCCCACCAGGGTCCCTGCTGGAGCCGCAGGGCCATCCCCGCCGGGGTCTCTCCTCCTCTCCTGCCCTCCTCCTTCTCTGCCCTCGGGGCTCCCAGGGCTGTTTCTCACCCCGTTCCCCTCCCTCAGCCCTGGCTGCCGGGCAGCGTTTTGCCCTCCCTTGCCCAGGCTTTTCCCGGGGCTCCCGCCCGCCCGTGGCTGAGGGGCTCAGCTGAGTCCTGCGCTGGGGCCGCTGGAGCCGCTGGAACCGGCGGGGTCCGGGCGAGGCAGCCCCACACAAGGGTCGCCTCACACCCCGGCAGAACTCCACCACCACCATTTGGGCTTGTAAACCCCATATAGAAGGCAGAGGAGGAAGGAAGTCAACAACTGATTATATCAACACTTTTTTTAAACTAAACTGTACCTTTTTAATTTCAAAACATGAAATCTAACAGGCATGCACAGCTCCCTTAAGACAGTTTTGCGAGCATTTCGGTAGCTGACAAGCAAATATTCAGATGGAGAATTATCTACATATGTCAAAAATGCTGTAGATTTTTTTCTACTAGATAGCTAATAAGATCAATACATCATGTCTCTTCTGTACTACAGAAAAAGGGATCTCTGTCCTTTAAACCATAATGATGATCAAAAAAAAGGAAAGCTTGAAAAGTATGAAAAGGACAGGAGCAGAAGATTGACAAAAGGATATTTTATGACCTACCTAGTTGAATAATCTTCTTCGGATGAAATATCTTTCCAGATTAATATCACAAAAGAAAAATCCTTCCTAAGAAGAATCAAAGTTTTTTGCGGAATGTAGGAGAAAAAGAATATTTTATTTGAAAAAAAATATATATATACACGAAATAAAGGTCATTCATATTAAAAAGAAGCCTCGATGCCTATTCAGTGAGAAAACCTGTCTTTACGATATGTAAACATATAAGAATTCTTATTCTATTCTTGTTAAATCATAAACTTTTTAAGAGGAACAGCATAAACAGAAACTTTACTTAACATTCCTGTGCTTTTTTTTTTCAGCCTCCTATTTAATTTGAATAACTGGCTCCTGATACCATTTGCTCGTAAAAGTTTTTTTTGTTTCTTTTTGGCCTTTAAATGGTTTAATTTTGAACTGTATATGTTTCCCTTTAAATACATCTACTGTTGGGTTTCTGATGTATTCAAAAAAGATAATTTATCCACCTCTTTTCTTCTAAAAGTTATTTTCTGAAGTACTTTCTGTGTTGGGATAATTTGAAAAGTGACTTTGCATAAATTATATGAAAATCATCTAGTCTTTCCTGAAGTCTGAATGTATTTGAAACATGGGCCTTGCAAATTGGCACTATATGATAATTAGGGCATGAAGTTCTGCATTGTGTATAACTTGGCCACTTTTATCAACATAAACTTTGAATGATTTATATCTAGTACTAGTAGCCGCTGGGAATTACATTAATTTATATTTGGAGGCAATTCCCAGCCAGTGCTAGTGCTAAAAGTGCTTCAGACAGAGTGGGAGCTATTAAACTTAGTGGATTCTGTTTAAATAGTCAGATTTCAAGTTACACTGTTATCCTGAATTTCATTGAGGTAAATATTGAGCAAGGTTAAATTCTAGTAATGTTTGACAGGACCTACTGTGAATCAATTTTTCTCCTAATTAATTAAGATGACTATGACTGAGCTTGATTAATACAGATGAATTGAATTTCTGAAAGTCTTTCAGTGAGATCCATCATCACAGATTTTTAAAGATATTACGGAATAATTTTTCGTGAATAAATAACAGGTTAAAAGAGAAGAAGTAGAGAGTACAAGCATATGTTTGTTTGGTGTTTTAGAGTGGATGGAGACCACTAGGAAAATCCTGAAGGCGTCTGTACTGGGACTAATGCTGTTTAATCCATTCAGACATAATGTGAAAAAAGAGGTTAAGAATGAGATGGTACTAACATTACTAAGTTATCTTGTTCAGTGCGGATAGAGGGACCAGCACGAAGAACTGCAGAAGGATCTTGCTAGATGGGATGACCAGAGATTGGAATAATATGGAATTGAATAGGGACAAAAGTAACCTGAAACTCTGCAGTCTATCCTAACTATGTACCTGAAATATGTTCTAAGCTGACAGTTATCAGTCAGAATGAAATCTGTGGGTTTTAAAAGATAACATCATGAAAATATCAGCTCAATGCTCATTATTGGTCAGAAAAAAAATCAAATGTTCAGAGTTATTGGTATAGAAAGAGAAATTTGAGAGCAACATTGCACTCTTACACTATCATATAAATCCATGCTATTGCAATATTGTGAATTCAGTTTACTGTTCTGTCCATCCTCATTCTAAAAATAATATAATAGGACTAGAAAAGGTCAGTAAGTACAATCAAAGTACAAAGCTTCTGCATAAAAAATGACTAAGTAGATGAGTATTGCTCACCCTGGACAAGAGATGGAAACTATGACAGAGGTCTTTAAAAATATAAGTGGCACACGGGAGGCAAATTGGGCTTTACTGTTTGTTAAGAGAACCGGAGGCATCAAATCAAGCTGACTGGAAGCGGCTTCAAAATACTTCACAGAACTATGGTTCTTCTGTCAAAAGATGTTAGAGTAGTGGAGCTCTGCCAGCAGGATGTTACAAATGGCACGGGTGGCCCAGGAAGCTTCACAGAAGAGAAGTCTGCAAGGAACTATGACATAGCAGAAATTCTTCCTCTTACATAGAGGGTTCCTCAGGTAAAAATTACTTAAGGACAGGAAGGTTCCCAAAGACTTTTGTCCTCTTATGTAATAATTTGTTTTGGAAAACCATCAGTAACCAATTAGTGAGGAAACACCTTTATTTTTTGAGTCTTACAGTGTTAGAGGAACGTTATCTATTGACATTTTGCCTCTGCAAGACTACCACTTTTCCAAGTGTACAGGAAAGAGACTGATTATAGTGATTGTTTGTAGCAGCATGAAAATGTGAACTTTTCCATCTTATGAGTGAAAAGTTATTTTAAATTAAGTTTCTGAACCTAAATAAGGCGGCTCTTTTGAAGCTGTTATAGTTTAACCCTACTACGCAACTCAGCACCACATAGTCACGTGCTCACTTGTCCCCACAGCCCATTGGGATAAGAGAGAGAATTGGAAGGGTAAAAGTGAGAAAATGTGTGCACTGAGATAAAGTTAGTTTAATAGGGAAAGCAAAAGCAGTGCATGAAACAAAGAAAAATAAGGAATGCATTTACTACTTCCCATCATCAGACAGTGGTTTAAACATTTTCAGGAAAGCAGGACTTCATGTGTAGTGGCTAGTTGGAAATACAAGTACCATAACTCTGGACATTCCCCTATTCCTCCTTTTTGTCCCAGTCTTTTATTGTTGGCCAGTTGAGATCAGGTGTTCTGTCTGTGTCTCATCCCAGCTTCTTGGGCAACTGCAGCTTACTCACTGGCAGGGTAGCTTTAGAAAAAGAAAAGGCCTTCATGCTGTACAAGCACTGCTTAGCAACAGCTAAACCACTGATGTGTTATCAACACTGTTTTGGTCATAAATCTGTATACTGTATAAAATGCTTTAAATAAATCTGACTATCCCAGACAAAACCAGTACAGAAGTTTAATTTATTTTTAACATTAACATGAATGTTGTCGTGATTCTAAAATATTTACTTTAAATCAGTGTAATAAATTGTGAAAGACTCATAGAGAATGACCTATGGTGGAAATACATCTGTAGAAATGCACTCTAGTTAACAGTCTTAAGACAAGTGTAGATTCCTTTCTCTGTTGGATTCATTGACTATGGGAGTTTTCCTTTGGGGCAATTTAAAACTAAGCTGTAACAGAAATGTATTAATGCATTCATCCTCACATTTACTTCCACTAGATTTACTCAGGCAGCTTTTGCCTGCTAATACAATTTAGTAGAAAAAATTCTTTATGATAGCTTCAAAATCTTTTTTTAGTTAGTTGTGGTATGGAAGACTCTGTGGCTAAAATAAGTTTGTGATTTTTTTGGCTACAAGAAAGCTTCATTTTGCCTTTTTGTGTTGGAGTGTCTGTTTAACAGACTGAATGATTTTAAGAAATTCTTAGAGAATCATCAGTCTTATGTGATAAAGGTGTTCTTTT